TATAAATAAGACTAGAGGCTTATCATCAGTACTTGAAATATTTGTAGGTGCAAAAGTAATGTTGCGGTCCAACATTGACGTTACAAAAGGATTGGTAAATGACGCTATAGGCCACATTACAGAAATTTTTTGGCTTCAGTTCCGTCGAACCCAAATGTACGAAACAGATATATCATCAGTTTTAATTGACTTTGGCACAAACGGCATGCACGTTATTTACCCTAAAGCCATACAGTTTCCAGCAAAATTCAATTATGGTACGGCTGAAAAAAGGATGTTGCCCTTAGTTTTGTCATGGGCATTCACCGTTCATAAAATGCAGGGCAGCACCGTCGACCATGCAGTAGTATATTTGGGCTCAAAATGGTTTGAGGAAGGACAAGCATACGTGGCTCTAAGTCGAGTCAAGTCTCTGGAAGGGCTATGTATTGAGGAATTAGATTGTACTAAATTATCAGGTAAGAAACCATGTAATAATGATGCACTGAATGAATTAAATAGAATGAGGAATATTCGGTAAACAATTTCACTAAATACTAAAAACAAGAAAATAAAAATCGGTAAAAAAACTTTTAAGTTAAACGGTTTTATTTTATGTGCACTGAAAACTACAAAATAAATAAATAGTTACTTACCTATCAACCTACGTAGGTGATCTCGGTCATTAATATCTCTGATGGTAGTGGTTGTCATAACATGAACCATGTCAGCGGCCGAAAGGCAGTTCATGAGAGAACACTAACACCAGGGTTTGCTTGGTAGGTAAACTAAGCAGCCCACACTATAACAAGTAGGTATTTTGACCTTCTAGTTCAGAAATATTTTAGTACTAGGCAGAATAGCTTTTAGGCATATTAGACTAAAATAAAAACGTAGGGCCCCTCTGAAATCATACCTATAGCAGAGCATATCTTATACTTTGGTAGATCATGAGCTCGGCGTTCGCTGGTGAAGCCGTAACGGCTGGTTATTGATGGTCAAAACCTCCAGTTACGATTATAGTAAGTCGATTCAGCGGACCCTGGACTCCGGAGCTATGAGGTTTCGGATGCGACCGGGATAAACCGCTAGGATGATGATGATGACGATTATAATAAGTCGATGCAATCCACACTTAGTATAGTAGAAAGTAATACAGAAATAGTTAATATGCTCTGCTATAGGTATGATTTCAGAGGGGCCCCACGTTTTTATTTTAGTCTAATATGCCTAAAAGCTATTCTGCCTAGTACTAAAATATTTCTGAACTAGAAGGTCAAAATACCTACTTGTTATAGTGTGGGCTGCTTAGTTTACCTACCAAGCAAACCCTGGTGTTAGTGTTCTCTCATGAACTGCCTTTCGGCCGCTGACATGGTTCATGTTATGACAACCACTACCATCAGAGATATTAATGACCGAGATCACCTACGTAGGTTGATAGGTAAGTAACTATTTATTTATTTTGTAGTTTTCAGTGCACATAAAATAAAACCGTTTAACTTAAAAGTTTTTTTACCGATTTTTATTTCATTGTAATTTGTGTGCTGTAAGTAATGTTAATAAATTGTCTATCTATCTATCTATCTATCTAGTGTAGTGACAAATCTGGTAGATTACGTAGTGGTTTAGTTTTTTTTTATTTAATTCACTATAAGTATCAATTAAGCCACGAACAATAGATAGCTATTACAAAATATTGAGTGATTTCCAATATATATTACTTTTTAATCGTTTATATTCAGTATATAAGCTCAGAGGAATTATTCAGTATGATGTGCCACGGCCATTGTCTACCATTTGTTTTTATGGGTAAAAATGGTATGGTAACCCCGCCTACGCTAACGGGATACGCTGGCGGGGTACCAGTGAAGGGTGATAGATGAGAATGAAAACAGGCCAGTTAGCCCGTCATGATTCATCAGGAATTAACCATGATAGCTTCCAGGGAGAACCGCGAGGAGGTCGACCTGGTATATTGCTAGCAATAGGATTCTCAGTCTCCATTACTAACAATCCCTTTCCCCCCATTGTCTACCACTGTACAGCTTGCCAGGGAGTTCACGCTCATACTTTAAAGCCTAGATAATCATGTAGAGCATAGTTTTAGATATGTCAAGGATTTTCTAAGAGACTACAGCATGGGGTTCTTTAAAAAAAGTTTAAAAAAGTTTCTTCAGGGTCGGCAACGCGTGTTTAGATATTTATTTTAAATTATATTATATTAATTTTCTTAAACATCTTGTGTCAAAATGTGTACCTACATTTATTAATAAAAATCAGACTAACTACTTTAAATATAAAATAATCAAACGTTAAAATTGTTATTGTACCAAATTTGGTGATAAATTATTCTTGTAATGTATATAGAACACTAATTTATATTTTAATTAATTTTATAATTGTTTATTGTCATGATACTTGAATAAAAAGTAATGAAATTGTAAGAACACGTGGTCTCGCTGACTTGTTCACTCGAATTCGGCTCTGTAGATATAAAAGATTGTTATTTGGGTGGGGAGACACTTCTAGTCCAACCGTTGAACAGAGCGGAGCTCCCTGACGTATCAAGAGTGAACAAGTATAGTGAACCACGTAGTCATTATATAAAATATATCACAATTATTGTTGATGGAAGTCCTAAAGAAGCTATTTTTAAATAAGTATCCATGGACTAACAGAAGTTGGGTATTTATGTTATATTATTTGTTATATATAGTATCATATACGAAGTAAAATAAGTAAATATATGATTTAATAGTATGATATCAAAATTAAATGAACTGTGAGAACTTGTACTTCATTTCTATTTATCACTAAGAGGCTTACAACCTTTATATTGCTAAAGAATATATTATATACATATATGTAAAGTTAGTATTACGTAGTACCCCACATATCATTTTTAAATTTTCCTTTTCTAATAAGCGCGTGTATATGTACATTTAGCCGTGTGGTCCCGGCATAGAATAGGCTACCCCTTCCTTTCTCGTGGATTTCGTAAAAGGCGACTAAAGAAGGGCGAGCGATGGGCAACACCGTCTTTCTTAAAACATCATCAAATCTTAACTGCGGTTATCAATCCACCTGCCAAGCATGGCAACTACTGGCAAAACCTCCTAAGTTGGAGGCTTACGTTCAGCAGTGGACAGTTAAAGACCAATATGATGATAATGATATGTATATTTTGGTTGTAATGTTTTATGTATTTGTTGTTAAGCGTGTTGAGTCTCCCATCCGAGAAATAGGTATTGGCGACCTGCACGCATGCTAAAAGTAAAGGAATTAAGGAGCCGCCTGAAAATCAACGCTATATAGGTACATCTCGCTGGAGCTGTACATATATAGTAACAGCAGAGGCGGCTCCTATTACCAGCAAAATTAATTGATTTTTTCTGTTTATTGTTGATTTTTTTAATTACTGGTAATATAGATTATCTATCTATCTTATTTACATCTGTTATAATTTTCGGTAAATATATAAATCGATTAAAAATCGTTCATCAAGTAGAAAATATTTAAAAATTGATTAATTAGTTCAGAGCGAGTCATTAATTATCGATGTTTCGATAAAGCACACAAAACACATACAGTGCTGATACGATCGCTATTTGTTTGTCTCGCTTCCGATAAAATATTGGCTCGTATTTATAATGAATTTTACACGTACAACCCTATTGCGTGACTTTTGTTTATACCCTTTAGTGTACAAAAAAATATTGTAAAAAAAAAAAATAACGGCCATTTTAGATTTAAAATACTTTTCACTACTTTATTTGTATGTTGAATAGACGTAAACTTGTTAGTGTAACAATAAAAGCATATGCATTTATTTGTCTACATGAAATTCTTTATTGAGATACGATGTGTTGTATATTTAGGTTTTTTTTTTATTTTTTAGTCCATCTATGTGCTAAGTTTCGTAGTATATCATTCCGATAATTCGTTATCATTTAAACTCATTAAAGAAATTACTTATAACTATTGACTTGGGGGGGAAAGGGATTGTTAGTAATGGAGACTGAGGATCCCATTGCTAGCAATATACCCAACCAAGTCGGCCTCCTCGCGGTTCCACCTGGAGACTATCATGGTTAATTCCTGATGAATTCATCATGATGGGCTAACTGGCCTGTTTTCATTCTCATCTATCACCCTTCACTGGTGCTCCGCCAGCGTATCCCGTTAGCGTAGGCGGGGTTACCATACCATTTTCACCCAGCAAAAAAATAAAACTATTGACTTGGCTTAAATTAAATAAGTTATATATGCGACGGTTATCTTTTCTAGAATATGTGTTTGTTATTCATTAAAACATTGCACACAGGACGATCTTTGTGTTTTCTCTGCTAGTCAATACATCTCCTCTATTCTCCAGCTAGTCTTACTAAATGTACTTGTTCGTTACTCCACCTCATACTCTCCAGTCCTGTTTACTAATTCTTATTCAGCTCCAACAGTTTTCGGTAGAACTTTTTTTTTTACAACACAGGGGTCAAACGAGCATGCGGCTCACCTGGTGGTAAGTGACTACCGCCGCCCATGATCACCCGCAACACCAGCGGCATTGCAGGTGTGCTGCCGGCCTTTTAAAAAGGAATATACTCTTTTCTTGAAGGTTATGTTGTCGTATCGGTTCGGAAATACTGCTGCTGGAAGTTGATTCCAAAGAACGGTTGTGCGTGGAAGAAAGTGCCTTGAAAAACGCACGGCGGAAGACCGCCACTCGTCCAGATGATTGGGATGAAACTTTAGTTTGTGGCGGGTTGTACGGTGGTGAAACGTACTACTGAAACTGGTACTTAACTCTTGTAAATTTGTGGAGACACATCAGTAGGTTTTGTTTTGTAGCTTTAACGCATAGAGGAGAAAAGCTCTTTTTTCCGAATCTTTTCCTCAAGACAACTTTTAACAACGAGCTATCAAAAATTCTTTCTTCTATTCTATTCTTCTATTCTTTCGATAGCTATGTGAACTACTTAGTCTATGAATGTTCTTAAATAATTTGTTTGCATTTACAGAAACTAAATGGAAGACGGTCGAAGGCATTCAAACGACACTGGTTGGTGAACATGCTACACTCCTAAGATGAGCGGGAGACGAGGGCCGTGCAAGAGCTTCGCCATCAGCGTCATACAGATCATCACAATTATATGCCAAGGTTAGTTGAATTCATTCTTGCTTAAACACTTTATTATAGTTAATTTTAAACTTTCGCATTGTTTACACATATTTTAAAATACTCAATCAGGATTTAACGCGATGTAAAAGCCTTTACAGGTAAATAGTGCCTATTTATCTGCTTCTCTATTGCCAACTATGAGTGCGGTGTGTAGGGTGGTTCTAGATAATAATGGTAACAGTGTAAAGGTACCCGAAGAGACTGCGCCAGCTGCCAGATGAAGACGCCGCTCACTTCAGTCCAGTCGTGACCATGACGTACAATCCACGTCGAAACGTCGGCAATAAAGAAGCAGGCATGTAGGTACTATTTACCTAGTTTCCACGCTTGGCAGGCGGATTGGCAACCGCAGTCAGGCATTAGAGATGTTTAAGATGGACGTTGCTACCCATCCCACCTTTAGTCGGCTCTTACGGTACCCAGGGGAATGAAAGAAGTGGCTTATTCTATGCAGGGACAACACGGCCTTATATCTATCTATATAATCTAAGGTACACTTACCTTACCTTACCTCAGATACATTTTAAAATAATAAATGGCATCTAGCTCTAAATAAATTGCAAAATTTCACTATTAATTTAATTACAATTTTCCTCTAGTTTTAACTAATTACAATGAAAATTCGATTAGCAAATTCTCTTCACAAAAGCCTTCGAAGTAATATTGCTTAAAATATTTTTATATGATTGCAAAGTAACTAGTAATAACTTCCTCAATAGTATATTATTAAAATTCCGGGAATGATGTTTTTTTTTTTCATTCAAAATTCAGCTTCCACGAAATGATATCGACTTATCTTACATCAAAGTAACTTTTAATAAAGTTACTTCTTATGAATTAATTATAATTTAAATATTGTTCCTACGCATATTACGAAACTTATAACATACAAAGGTGCGTCATTCATAATTTATTAATACAATGTCTTAAAATAATAAATTGTACGAAAATATAAAGGAGCAAATTTTAGCTTTAAAATTTCCATACTAGGTCTATTTCGTTTGTTTTTGACTGAATTTTTTTTTTTTATAAATTTATAACAGAGTGAAATAATATAAAAATTAAAAACCAATTAGTTTCCCTCCAATGTCCTATAAAAAAAGACTAGACAATAAATATTCCATACCTCTTGAACTCGGGACAGGCTGATAGACTACGGTAAATGCTTATTATCAGGTAGACCGTATACTTGTTTACCACCTCAATGGTATAAAAAAAACATGCCTTTCAATCATTTAATAGCATACCATAATCGTTATCATATTAGCCATTGTCTGTCCACTGCTAAACATGGCTTATGTCCCTTATAAAAGGGCTTTTGCCAATAGTTGTCACGCTTAACCAAGAGTTAACAAACTCACCCTTTACATTTATAATATTAATAAGGACTATACACATATGTTTATCTTGAACCACATTCCGGAATGGCAAAATCTTTAATCACTATATTTGTGTATCAATAATTCCCTTTATGAAAATATACTACTAAGATATTATGTATTATTTATTTATGTATCAATATTTTAAGTATGTGAGGTATTTTATAAAATTAGGGTATGATGAGGCTGACATATCCTTATAGGATAAAAGCGTCTAAATAAAAAAGATAAATAAAAATATATATGTTTAACATAAAATAATACAAAATACACTTTAGTAAAATTATTACCAGAAAATGATAAAATTTCGATTCAAAGTTTAGATGGAGATTTCAATAAGTTTTACTTGCATCTCATTGAAAATTTTATTTAAGTCGCATGTAACATTTTATTTCAATCCAAACTTGGAACTTCTTTGAACATGTTTTTAAGACAATTCAAAATTACATGGAACATGTTTATAACTCATCGAAGTTTGGATGTTTATTAATTAATCACGTAGAATCGGGTGAAGTCGTTTAAACCTTTAGCACAAACATTAGCACATATGTACAAGTATTTATATTATATTATTAGAGATTTCTTTATAAATAAGTCAAAATAACCATGGCCTACATTATTTCTTATTGTTATTATTATTATTTCATTCTTATTTGAAAAACAAACAGTCGACGGTTACCACTTTCCATCAGGTGCACCGTCAGCTTGTTTGCCATTCTAAGTTGTATAAAAAAAAAAACAAATTAACAGATAAAATATTACATAATAAATAATTATAAACCACTAATTAATTATTACGATATTTTCGCAACGATATTATCTCTAATAAGCTTTTTGTACACTGCAATCGAGTTACTAAATATGTCAATAACGAACGAAGAACAATTTATTGTACTCGGTACAGACGTTAAATACAAATGTGTTTTTAGCATATTTTGTATTCATAAAAGATACACTAAACAGTAAACTGTTACATGTATTTAATTTAAACCAGAGGGAGACTGCACAAAAGTCGTTTGCTTCGGTACCTCTGTCCCATTCGTGTTTCAACCGTAAAACAGTTGTGTTTGCACGGCTGTGTTTCGAATTGAAGGGTGGGATATGGCGTGAATTTACAGGGTACAGAGGAATAATACCTGAGTCCTCAAGAATGGCAACGCCCGTGCGTTTTATGGGCGCAACAGTATACTCTGTCATGTCCATGGTACTGCTTATGTCTATAGGCAACGGTTACCACTTTCCATCAGGTGAGCCGTCAGCTTGTTTGCCATTCTAAGTTGTATAAAAAAAGTAAAAGGAAATCAATATAATTTCTCGACAATTAAAATAAAAACACTTGATCCCTTTCAAAACGATGCTCAGCCAATGATGGAACAATGGAAATTTCTTCTTTAAGAGAGGAGCACTTAAATTATTCTAGGTTTTAGTACAATAATGAATATTATTATTAATACAATAATACTACTTGCAAACTTAATGTAAAACCTTCGTTTATTATTAAATAGAATCAAATAAGCGAATAATATCAAACTTCACTATCAGATAAATTTGATTTCATATTCGATATTACAATATTACTGGATAATTTTAAAGTCTTAATTTAATCTAGACATGTAAATATGATTTTATATTTATTTAACTAACTAACTAACAAAATTTTTCATCGTGCCTCCCACCAAACTGTTTATAATTACTCCTCTCCATCCAAAGGTTGCCTGGAAGAGATCGCTCTTAGCGATAAGGTCGCCCATTGTTTTCTCATTGTGATTGTTTCTTGTAATTATTTATATTTATAATAATTTTACTATTGTAATCTTTGGAGGAAACAATAAAGAGTATCTATCTATCTATCTATCTATGATGTATTTTATTATAATGTAAAAAATGTACTAAATTTATAATAATATTTACATCGAAAGAATTTGTTGGTTTGAACGCATCATTATCTGTAATAAGCAGACGCATTTGTAAACTTCTTTTTGCTTTTTATTAGGTCATTTCTTGAAGAACGTTATGGGCTATTCAATATTATGATAAAGCTACAGGCGAAGTTACGAGATATGGCTATTATATTTTATTATTGTATCAGCCGTTAACTGTCCACTGCTGAACATAGGCCTTTCCCATAAGGAGAATTTTGCCAGGAATTGCCACGCTTGGCAGACGGATTGGTAATCGCAGTTAAGCTGTAAATGTTTTAAGAGAGACGCTGCTACCCATCCCACTAAGCCCACTAAGGATCACTAAGCTCCCTTAGTCGGCTTTTATAACACTTGAAGGAAAGAAAGGAGTTTTTTTTTACAATACAGAGGGCCATCGAGCACGTGGCTCACCAGATGGTAAGTGACTACCGCCGCCCATGATGACCCACAACACCAACGGCATTGCAGGTGTGCTACCGGCTTTTTAAAAAGGAATATGCTCTTTTCTTAAAGGTTATGTTGTCGTATCTGTTCGGAAATACTGCTGCTGGAAGTTGATTCCAAAGAGTGGTTGTGCGTGGAAGAAAGTGCCTTGAAAAACGCACGGTGGAGGACCGCCACTCGTCCAGATTGTGATGAAATTTTAGTTTATGGCGGGTTGTACGATGGTGAAAATCAGCAGCAGATATCAATCCGAACAATTCCTCAGAGCACTCCCCATGATAATTTCGGTAGAAGATGCACAGAGATGCAACATCTCTATGCAGTTTCAGTGGGTCGAGTCGGACAATAAGGCGCCAATCGTCAACAATTCGAACTGCCCGACTTTGAATGCAGTCTAACGGAGGGAAAGAAAGGATTAGCCCATTCTATGCAGGGACATGGCAGTAGCATAAGACGAGATACAACTAATACTGAATACATTCCTGTATTTTGTACGTTCCATTCATTGTCAATAGGATTTTAGGCCAATATTTGTAATTGAGTGCATCACATGTGAGTACAGAAGGTCGAGGAAAATCTGGGTGGGCGAGTTGAAGTTAATTAACTTTTGATAGATCAAAAGCGAACTGTTGTGTGAAGGGTTATCCTTTTGTAGTACGGATGTTAGTGGTTTAGTCATTAATAACTTACAGAGAGCAAGTCAGTTAAAATCTAAATACAACTACATAATCCTATCAATGTGTATCTGAAATTATTACAGGATTCACGGAAAACAAATTAGCTAGCTGTTGCATCTATATATAAATTAATATAAGTTTAATTTAGCATATAATCTACCTGTGTTTGTAAATTTTATTAAAATCTGTTCAGTCTTTTAATCGTCATTGTGTAACAAACATATAAATATCCAAATGTCTTTATAATATTTACTCTAGTAAACTCACAAATTTTTTAAAACGAATAAAATGCATCGACGAGCTATGAGACTATTCCAAGATACATTAGATTTTGTATATAATACGAGACCGTATGTAAAAAATGTATGTAACTATTCGAAAAAAAAAACTCGGTCCTGTACTAGTAATGAGTGTAAAATAAATCAGAATGTTTAATACCAGAATTTTACCTCAGACTATGCTGACCTGGTTGAGGTCACATCACGAGAACCTAACTGATTCCTTAACCTTACCTTATCAAATACCACGTAATTTTATTATAATTTAAAATTTATATT